GAGGTGCAGGTCACCTTGCAAGTCCCACGTCTGCTGCAGACCCGGCTCCTGCCCCAAAGGGTCGCGTCCCACCGCCCACCAGGCCCACCTGCGACAGCCTCCCGGCCCGGCTGTTGCAGGCTTGGTGGTTAAGCTTGCAGGCTCTGCCGCAAGACGCCTTGGGCTCAACTCCAGTCCTGCCACTTCCTTACTCTCTCTGAGCCTTGGACTGTCCCATCTGCGACGCAGGATGATAAAATGATGCGGATGTGGGCGGTTGTTCCTTTTATACACACTCGGCTGGTGTGACTCTCGCTGTGGCGACGGAGATCCTCTGGAGACTGATGTGGCTTTAGCGTGACGTCAGCGGCTGTGTGCCCAGGGTCCGGAGAGTTTAGGATCGGAGCATTCTTCCAGCGAGTCTTCCAACAGCCCTGGGACTCGCCCCACACCAGAGCTTGGAAATGACAGTGTAGGGCCCCTAAGAGGACCTGGCTGTGAGATTCAGCTCTGGCCCTTACTGAGTGACAGGGCCCCTGTGTGAAGAATGTGTCAGCACAGAGCGGCCATCCAGGGTAGTGGTCAGAGCTTAGAGGTGAGACCCAAATTCTGCCATCTTGAGTATCTTTAAAACACCATATCAGCTACATGAGGATCTCTTATCAAGTCTTGAGGATTTCGAAAACGGTTAACTTTTTTCTTTCTGTGGTACAGAGGATTGAACCCAGGGCCTTTGCACTCAGTTACATCCTCAACCCCTTTTTAAATTTTGAGACAGGTTCCCACTAAGTCAATGAGTTGCCCAGGCTGGGCTCAAACTCAAGATTGTCCTGCCTCGGCCTCCCAGAGTGCTAGGATTGCATGGCAAACCCAGCTAGAGGTCAACTTCTTAAACCTCCCCCCCCCCACGATAATTCCTCCCATTTATCCACATTGGTCTGGGGTTTGGACAAGGGGCCTTCTGCCAGCACCCCTCCCAGGCCAGGCCCAGGGCTCTGCAGAGAGCCTCCTTCAAGAGCACAGCCGCCAGTGTCCACCCTGGCCATTTCTCTCACTGGCACCCACCTTCTGGACGCTGCCAGCCCTCGAGTTTGAGACCCTTGCTTTTGACTCCTCATCCCCTGGCAGCAGCACTGCTGGTGATCTGGTTACCAACGCAAACTCTCAGGCTGCACCTGAGACCTACAGAATCGGAAACGCTGGCAGCGGGGCCCCTGCTCCTTTCAGTCCTGCCCCCCAGGTCTTCCGATGAGCACTGCAGCCGAGGTGGCACTGCTTATGACCCTCGCTACTCAGAGTGCAGCTGGGGTCCAGCTGCACAGATGTCAGTGTCCAGCAGAGCCCAGCTCTGACTCATGGGAACAAAATCTGCGTTTTAACCAGGTTTCTCGGGGCTTGGGGTGCACGTGAAAGTCAGAGAATTGCTGCTGTCGGGTGCCCTCGGCGAAGGGTGAGGAGGTCACCCTAGGAAAGCAGAGGTCACTCAGCTGTTGAGCACGTCCACCCCACCTTGCCCTTGCCCCCTTCCCAATTACAGCTGAGTCGAGGCTCCCATGCCCCCACATACACCTTTGGTTCCATAACGTTAATTTTATAATCTCCCTGGAGTGAGTCCAAAGCAAAATTTTATGTGATATGATTACACAAGGTGAATTGTCCTGGATCTGTTTAATGAAACAGATACTGTGTTTAATGATTCCATGGGGAACTAAGTACAGTGAGGCCATTAATCAGGCCTTGGTTCCTTCGGTCCACAAGAAGACGGAGCAGCAGAGACTGGCCGGCTGTGCCCAGACAGGCACAGGCCAGGGCGGGGCTCGTTACCTGTGTTCCACGCTGCTGCATGTCTTTTATTACGGGATGTGCAGGCAGCGATCACTTACCAGGCATCCCGAGCTGATCGAGGGCTTTGTTTTAAATTTTTCTTCTTCTTTCTTTCCAATGAAGTATTTTAGGAGCTTTGTCACAGGAGGGGGTGGGGTGGGCAATTACCTGCTGCCAGAGCAGGTTGGGTCTCTGTGGCTCTGGGAAGATGCTCAGACCGATGTGGTAGGGCCCATGGGACACCTCAGGAGATGCCAGGGAGAGGGGACATCAGCACAAATAATCACAACAGTGATCCACATGCATTAGGCTTCTCCTGTATCCCTGGTATGGTATCAGGACCTCTGCAATCCTTTCACTCTGTCTGCACGGCATCTGTAAGGCGGGAGGACTTATCAGCGTTGCAAACTGAAGCTCAGGGAAATCAAATGAGATCTCCAAAGTCACACAGCTCGTGTGGCGAGGAGCTGGGTCTTGAACCTGGGCAGTTAGACTGCAAAGGCATCTGTGCATGGACCTCGTGTCTCGGGCCGCAGTCTGAAGGTTAAGGGCGCAGCAGGTAGACTAGGAAGCTGCTCAGGACCCAGAGCCAAAGGGTGGCAGCCAACGGACTCACCAGCTCCTAAAGGCTTCCTTGGCAGGGTGGCTCCAGGGCTCAGTGTGGGATAGATGTGGGTTTCAGTTCTGCCTGGGACATCCCCGGGGCCTTGGCCAACGGGTTCATGTCTCTCAGCCTCCTTTTCCCTGCATCTGAAATGGCGCTAGTAATTCTTACCCTGCAGGTCTCCTCTCTTCTCCTCTCTCCCCCTTCTCCTTCTCTTCCTCCTCCTCCTCCTCCTCTTCTTCTTTTTCTTTTTCCTTTCCACCCCCCATCTCATTTTTACATTATTGGGGATTGAACCACTGTGAGTTGTGTCCCCCTTGGGAGCCTCCTGCCTCAGCCTGCCAGAGTGCTGGGCTCACAGTGAGACAACACCACACCTGGCTCTCCAGGCCTCTTGAGAGCTCAGAATGAGATCACACACAGGGAGCCCAGCATAGCCCCTGACACCCAGAAGCTCTCAGGCAGTGTCATGCTCCCAGCCTGCCCCCCAGATCGAGGAGCCTGGTGTCCCACGGCAGCGTGCAGTCAGCAGTGACGCCACATCACCTTCATCCCACAGCATCCAAGGCCAGACAGGTGGGGTGACCCAGGGGTCCGCAGCCATCATGCGGCCCAGCCCTCCCTTTTCCTTAGAGCCGCTCTGCAATCATCCTTTGGCACCACTAGAGTTGACCAGAGTGGCCTGGAAGTCTGAGTCTTCGTGGTGCTGGGTGACAGATGCCATCCGCATCACCTGGGATTCTCCCAGGAAAATTAGCAGCTTCCTGAATCTCCAGGGATGCTGCAAGGTGGCTCAGTCATTGGGGAATTCTGAAAAAGTAGAGCAGACCATCCACATACCAGATTTTTCCTAATCGCCCAGATACATCTGGTCTTAACCCATTATAGCAGTATGGGCTCAATTAGTCAGAGACATTGTAAATAATCTACTTTAAGAATAAAAAAAAATCTCCTTGTCATCACATAAATATTGCCCAAGAAGCCGTGGGGTTCCAGGAGTGGGGCCTGGGGAGCAGGAGACTCACACAGATTGTGATGTGTTCTGCAAAGAAGAGAGGCCCTTTCCTCACATCGCAATTTGGTGGTTGGGTATTTCAATTTAGCTCAACAGCCTTTCATGGAGCCCCTGCTGAGGGAGGCAGTGGAGGAAATGGGGCTGGAGCTGCTGGTGCCTGGGAAGACCAGGACCTCGATGGGGCGGTTTGATCTGGATGGAGCCTCCAGCCCTGTGACCTTGAGCAGGTCCCGGCCCCTCTCTGAGCCTCAGTTTCCACCCTAAAGAAGAGTGAACCGTTAACACTTTCCTTCACTCAGCCAGGGATTAGAACTGTTCCCGGAAAAAACAACAACAAAACAAAAAACAGCTGTTCCCAGACCTAGCTTCGGGCCGCCTGTTGTCGTCTGGTCTCAGTTGAGAGCTTCAAGGACCTGCCCTGCGACCCTTCAGATGGTGCTCAGAATTGAGGCAGTGATTCCTTGGTTGTGTTCCCCACGCCCTTCTGGTCCCTGTTTTGCGGTTACCCCTCAGCAGCTCTCTGGCCTGGCTGCCTCCCGCTTTGAGGTCTCTCCAGGGCTTGCCAGACAGCCCAGGCAGCCCCTTCCCACCTGGGTGACATCCATCCTGCTGTCTCACGGTGGCGAGGGAGCGGGCAGCAGGAGGGAAGACAGGCCATGTAGGTAGGGAGTCGTGCAGTGGGCTTTGGGGGGAAGGAGGAAGGAAGCAACCCCAAGAGGGGGCCCCTGCCCGAACCTGGGGAAGCCAGAGCAGGTGGCATCTTACCTGAGAGTAGATTAGCAGCAGTAGCGTTTAGTGAGCACCTACTGGATGCAGCTCACCGTGCTGACGACTTCATGTGCTGGGTTGCTTACTCCTACTCTCAGCCCTGTGATTCCCTGTGGATAGGCGCTAGCACGGGATGCTCCGGTAGTTAGAAACCCAGATCGTGAAGTCAGACAGCCTGGGTTCAAATTCTGGCTGTGCTTGCTCTTAGCTGAGTGACCCTGGCAGCTTGCTGACCTCTCTGCCCCTCAGTTTCCTCTCCTGGAAAATGAGGGCAGTGGCGATACCTACCTCACAGACTGTGAGGATTAAGTGGGATGAATAGATATATTAATAGTTATTAATATGTAATTATAATGTACTATAATTATATGCCTGCAATATAATTTAAATATTAGTATACATTGTGTAATATGTAATATACATACAATATACTTTATATATTTATATTTTTATATAATGAGTATAATATATAAAATTTATGTAATTTTTTACAGCATAGTAAATACATAATTTACAAATTATATAAATATGTGTATCACCTACATATGTTTATATATAGCTATAATGCACTGGGCACTCACTATTATATACGTACATATATATATATATGTATGTATATGTATTAATCCAAAATGAGCGTACATACATATATCTGCACGTTACATGTCTACATTGCAGTAACATACATTTCTGTAGCGGGCTCTGCCTGGCTTGTAGCAAGCGCAGGGAGGGCCAGACTGTCCCGGAGCCAAGGCTGGAGGCGGAGGGCGCGGGCCGCGCGGTCCTGGGGAGCAGAGGTCTCTGTTCCAGGCTGACCCTCCCTCCCTCCCGCAGAGTGGCCGGAGTTCGTGCGCAACTACGCCCCCTGGTGGGCTACGCACACGCTGGACTGGCTCAAGTTCGGCCGGAGAGTGTTGGTGGTGCACTTCGAGGACCTGAAGCAGGACCTCTTCGCGCAGCTGGGCCGCATGGTCAGCCTGCTGGGCGTGGCCGTCAGGGAGGACCGGCTGCTGTGCGTGGAGAGCCAGAAGGACGGGAACTTCAAGCGCTCGGGGCTGCGCAAGCTCGAGTACGACCCGTACACGGCCGACATGCAGAAGAGCATCTCGGCCTACATCAAGCTGGTGGACGCGGCCCTGAAGGGGCGCAATCTCACGGGCGTGCCCGACGACTACTACCCGAGATGATGGCGCGGCGCGGGGTAGGGGCGAGAGCCCCAGCACGCCCTGGTGACCCCCGACCCGTCCTGTCTTCGGCTGCTGTGGCCTTCGGCGAGCTCCCTGCGTGACAGAGGAGGCTAGAGGGAAGGGCTGCCCGGGCGCGACGTGGGCGTCCTGGTCTGGAGAGCTCCGGCGCATGGACCCCTTTCTGGCCCTGTGTCCCTGTCCCCAACACTCTGGGTTCCCCTGATGGGAGGGAGGGCGTCTTACTGTCACGGAGCTGTTCTGGGTCCTGCCTGCCCCGGCAGCGGTCGTTGAGGACCTGATGTGACCCCGTGGGCTGAGATGTGCCCCCCTTTCCTCCTCTGCTCAGGAAGCCCTGACACTCACCGTCTCGGTCCACCCTGTGTCGGGAAGAAGGCTTGCTGGACGTGTCCACAACTGTGGTTGTCTGACGCTCTGGCTACAGTGGGGAGACAGTGGTGCTCACAGGTGGCCCCCACCACCTGGGGTCCCTGGCACTATAAACCCATCCCCTGGTCACCCTGCAGCTGAGGAGCCAGCTGGTGGCCTTTGCAGTCTGGGGCTCCGCTCCTGCCCTGTTCGTCCCCCGCTGTGTCCAGGAGGTGATATGGGAGGTCCTTTGTCTGCTCCCAGGGTTCCTTGGGCAGCATCAGCTAACAGGGTGCCACGCCCAGAATCTGGGCAGGGTTAGAACCCCGGGCACACATCTGTCCACGGTGGCCCAACACATCCGTCATATTACACGGCCCTCCCACCCCTGCCAGTGGACCCTTTGCTGTCCAGCTGAGAGATCAAGAGTGCTCCAAGTCAGGCGGGGCCATGCTGTACCCAGAAGAGACTCCCGCTACCTTCCCAGACCACCAGCCTCCCTTCGCTCAGAGCCCAACAGAGCCAGCTTCCCCTGAGGGCCCTTTAAGGAGTGGGGCTGACCAATGGCTCACCGTTTCCATTGTGACGCTGCTCTGTTGATGCTGAGACACCAAACCAAAGGATTTCTGAGGACCCGAGTCACTGACCATCTGTTTTCAAGCACTAATCCAGGACCCCTTCTCTTCCCAAAGCCGGGATCCCAGTGGCTTCACACCCAGCCCACGTTAGCACCACCCCATCCTGTAGACGCAAAAGCCATAGGTCACAGCCTCTTTGCTCTTCTGTCTGGAGTGCCCCCCAAAAGTCCCTCTGCAGCCTCCGGGTGCAAGTAAAGGCTCATTCCCGAAAAGCAAAGGGTCCATGGAGAAGGCAAGTGAAAAGAGTATATTTTTTTAAGAGGAATATGACTAACACATTCCACTCCCTTGACCCCTGGCCATGCAAAGAGAAGGCACAAGGATGAGACCTGTGCTGTCACTCTCCAGGTTCCCTCATCCGTAGGATCTGGGCCACCCCATGGTTCAGCCAGGGGCTCTGAATGTATTTCATACCGTGTTTCTGTCCCCTGGCTGATTTCTAGTCTTTCGTGAAACAGTAGAGGGCTGGGCCTCCCCTCTCGCATGGAAGCCAGCTCTCACTGGGAAACTCTTGACCCAAGACCCAGGCCAGTTCTTTGCTGGTGGTCCCCTCTGGCCACAGGCTTGTGTCTGAAGATTCCTCAGGTCAACACTATCATTAAATTCCAGTTTTGCTGATAATTCTGCCACGTGTTGGAGTGTTATGTAAGGCGAGTTCACAATGCGGGTTTTGTGTGTGTGTGTGTGTGTGTGTGTGTGTGTGTGTGTGAGAGAGAGAGAGAGAGAGAGAGAGAGAGAGAGAGAGATGTCTGGAGGTAGAGCTGGTGCGTAATTGCTTTTGTGTCTGCCTCTCTCCGGCATAGCTGCCTGTGAAGAACTCTGTGCCTCTGTGTGAAATCATCTGTGTGTTATGAGGCCATTTTCCCCCCATGGGTGTGGTGATCAGCCCATTAGTAATGCATCTGGGTGGAATTGCGTGTAGATAGAAGTGACTGGTGTGGGTGACCCAAGGTATGAGAAGCCATCAGTCCGTTTTGGGAGGAGCTGCCTGCCTTCAGCACGTTCCTTTTGTCCTTGGTAGCTGTAAGGGATGTAGGCAGACGTGTGGGCTGGAAGAGACAGCCACATAAGTGTCCTTTGTGTTTGTGCAAGGGTATGGAGGGGATCCTCTGTGGAAGGTATCCCTTCTGTACGTATTGGTGTGTGAGTGTGTGTGACGGAGAGAGACGCTGAGTGTGAGCTATGCACGTTTTGGTAGTAGGGAAGCCAGCAAGAATATAAGAGCACTGGGAGTCCCCTCTGTCCCCTGGTGTGTGTGGTGGTGGCAGTGGGGGCTTAACCTCCATCTCCAAACCTCTGACTACAGCTGAGGGAAGACCCTGGGTTCACTCCTCTCTCCCTGGAGAGGTTTCTGCAGGGAGGTACTGGTGCCTGGACCATTTCCCAGCCCGTGGGAGGTACGAGATTTTAGATCCCACCATTTAGGTGGTACAGGTGGGGAAGCAGGGGGCAGGCAGAAGAGGGAGGGAAGGGCTTCTGCTCATCTGGGGGGAGCTCAGGGCTCAGGGTCCTGGCATCATGAGGTAAGGAGAGGAAGAAAGACGTCAAGGGGAGACAGGACGTGGTGATGCATGCTGGCCCATGGAAACCATCCTGTGATGGCTGACTGAGCACTGATGTGGGCTCCAGCCTCCACACTGACCCCTGGTCACACACTGAGCTCTGATCCTGGACATGTAGTTTCCCGTGATCCTGGTCTTGCACTGATCTTGTATCCAAATTCTACATTGACTGAGTCCCAACTCCAGCTCTCTGCACACTGAGCCTCGATCCTGTTTTTTGTTTGTTTGTTTGTTTGTTTGTTTGTTAGTTTTTGGTACCAGGATCGAACTTGGATCCTTTTGCTTACAAGGCAGATGGTAGAACCACTGAGCTAAATCCCCAGCCCTTGATCCTGGTTTGTGATTGCTCCAACCCGGACCCCGGGCTGAGCCCTCACCTGCCCAGGACAAATGCTGGTAGTGTCTCTCAATGGATGTCTTTGTCACCTAAACTGTGATTTTGGCCACAAACAGCCCCATCCTACCCTGGAGGAGCCCTGATGTTGATCACTCTGGGCCCTGGCCCGGTCATAGACCAAGCCTTGACTCTGGTACCAGGCTGAGCCCTGAACCGATGTGCCCATCTCCTTTTTCCTCTAAATGTCATCTGTGTCACCAAGTTCTTGTCCCAGCTGGAAATGAGGGAACCATAAAGCACCCAGCTTTACTAGTTCCTCTCTGGACCTCATAGATTCTGCACCACATCCAGCTCCCCACTCCTCCTCACCTCAATTGCCAGAGAGGGGCAGCCATAGATGGGGCTGAAACAGACAGTTTGCAACTCCGTCTTTACCTAGCATCTGCCCTTTGTACCGCACTTCATCATAGGCAACCAAACCTTTGCATTTCAGACTCAGAAAGAAGAGACTCATTCAGCACAGGTTTATTAAGCACCTATTGCACCCCAGGCCCTAGTTTCTTGTTTAGGGACTGAGAAAGGAACATTCTCCGTTCCTGCAGAGTTCACGTTTGACTAGGTAGAGAGCAGATGTCTTTAAAATGATCAGAAAGATTCTGCAGAGATGATAATGGACAAAGAAGATAAGGCTGGAGGGCATGGGCTGCTCCTCACCACCCCCAGGAGGTAGATGGAAGAGAGACGGTTAGTCCTCTCCACACAGGGAGCAAACTGGGCAGGAAGTAGCCCAAGCCAGAGATTCACTGCAGAGCTGAGGCCACTGCCCTTTCCTTCCAAGGCCGAAGAGCCCATTCCACGTGCAGAAAAATGACAAGAGGAAAAGTGACAGGTCTCAGCGGTCCGCAGTGCGGGTGACAAGCCTGGCCTGGCTGCCGGGACGGTGGGCTCTCGTCCTGCTCTGCCCACACCGTGGCTCCAGGGCTGCAGAGCAAGCAGAGCTCGGTATCCGCTGATTGCAGATTGGTTCTAGTTTCTGCGGTAACCCTGGCGGTGGCTGTGAATGTCTGCAGCGGACAGTGTGAAAAGGGAGAGGAGGAAAGGATGGGGGTGCCGGGGTGGCCACAAGCTGTGCGGAAGCCTCACCTCCCAGAGACCCGGCCTCTTCCCTTCCCCTCCCTCTCACGCTGTTTTCTTCCTGTGCCCGCTCTTCCTCTTTCCGGTTCTCTTTACCCTGCCTCCTGCTCTCAGTCTCCTTCGTTATGTTCTAATCTCCTCCACCTGCTCATGACCCACGTTTGTGGGGTGTCTTTCTCCCCACGTGCTCTTCTCTCTCTCTCCTCCCTCCCTGCTCCCAGCCCCTCCTTTTCTCCTTCTTGATTGCCGCCTAGGTTTCTGCCAGCGCCTCTCCATCTGGCTGCACCGCGTGATCTCTGAGCTCTCTGTTTCCCCTTCCCATTCTTTTCCCCCATCCCTGCTGCCCTCTCCCATCTCCGCATCCTGGAGAGTGGGGATGACTCTGCAGGACCCAGACACGGTGAGACAAACGGTACCCAGGCTGGTAACCAAGGAAGTGGTTTCCTTAGCAACAGAATCTACAGGCACGTGCTGCAAGGCCCTCTCCCCTTCGCTGTTAGAGTCAGGAGAAAAAGAAACAGAATGGATGGTAGGAGGGGGACAAACCTTGAGACAGTTGTACCCCACTGTAGTGACCCTCACACGAGGGCACAGTGGTCTGACACTCGCTCTACATTTCTTACGTTAGGGCCACTCAAAAGTGTGAGCGTTGGGGTCAGAGGTGGACGTGGAAAGTGGACGACAGCAGGTAGGACCCACAGGACTTAGTGACAGGTTGGACGTGCGGGGGAAGAACACACAAAAAGGCAAATAGCCCCAAGACGCGGGCCTAGGCAGCTCCTGGGAGGCTGTTTCCTTCGAGACTGAGAGCCCAGGACAGAGGGGTGGAGGAGGGCGAGGGAGACATTAAGGAGATACAGCTCTCCAGCCTCAAGAGTTCCTCTAACCGGCCAGGATGGGGGCCGGAAGATGGAGAGACAAATGCAGAGCTATCTCATTCATTTCTCCTCAGTAAATTGGCAACGGGTGCACCAGAGAACAAGAACAGCCTCCAGGGCGGGAGAGGCTCAGAACAGTTCAGTAATTTGCTCTAGGACACAAAAGTCAGTGACACTCTAAGCTGGGGATGATCTAGAGCCTGTCGGGAAGGTGGAAGAGAAAGAAGGGGTTAGAAAATGGAGAGACGGGAGAAAGAGATTTAAATCGTTGATCTGGCACTTTTTCCTACCGGAAAAACAAAAATATGTTCAAGTTTAGGGAGGATGAGAAAGGAGTAGGAGGGAGACAAAAGCGCCCTACTGTATGAGAGCTTCTGCGGCTATAAATAACCGTCCCCAAAGAAAACATCTGCCGAGACGCATTCCCTTCCAGAGCGAAGAATTGCGCCCCAGTCCATGCTGGTATTTAAATGACTCAGAGGGGTGTGGGAGGACGGGGGGCCAAGGGCAGAATGGGGATCGATGTAACGTGGAAACCTGGCTCTCCTTTCCCCAAAAAGCAATAAAATGTGCCGGCGAGGAGAGCTGTAAATCTGGCCGATGATAATATCCGTCCTAGCAAAAGCAACATGTTTATTTATCATGTTTGTGGGTTTACGATTTCTCCTCGAATTTACAGTCTGCAATCTGCCCGAGGGCAAGGGGAGAGACACAGAAATGAGGCCAAACCCAGCAGAACGTGGAGGAGGAAGAAATGATAAAATATTTATCCCCTCAGCCCACTCCCACCCCCTGGCTGCCTTAAATCCAATTTCGAACAGAGGTGGTGATTTATCCGAACAGGGCCTTGCAGCTCCCTCTCCGGCCTCCAACAGCTAATTGAAATGAATAGTCATTACAGCATAGAATGTGTTGCAGCAAAATGATTTTTTCTGCTTTCTAGAATCATTCACTAAACAAGTACGGGACTGGATAGTCAGCTGAGAAGAGTCAAGAGGGTAGCACTTGATGGTGACCAGATTTCTGTGCAAGAGGGGAGGGAGAAATTCCCTTCTGAGACAGGAGGTAGACACCCGACCCAATAGCATAGTTACCTGGGCTTCTGGAACTTGGCGTGCCCAGCCTTAGCCCAGACCTTTGGAATCACGTGTTCCAAAGCTCCAGGTGTGGAAACCACTGCAGCCAGCGGGACTGGGAGTGACCCTGCGTGCTTACCCTGAGGCAAGCTCTGTACTGTTGGCCTTTTGATCATTACTGGCCCACACATCATCACACCAGGACAGGACAGGATTGTTACCATCCCGTGCCTTTTCATGCATTATGATCCACGCGTCCCTAAAACTAACTCAGTACCTGGCACATAGTAAGTGCTAGGTAAATGTTGATTTTCTCAGGAGGTGAATCTTGAATTTCACTCTTTAACAGATATGGAGAGAAGAGCTGCAGTCACCAGCCAAAGCTGGTTTAGCTCCTTAACAGCCCTGAACTTTACCACCAGCAAGACTGAATTATTTTCTATCCTTTCACCCCTGTTAGACTCCCAGAGCCAATAAATGGAGTGGTGTGTCCACTTTTCTGGTCCCCAAGAACCAAGTGTACACATCTCTTCCCCAAATTCACGTGGTGTGTTGGTCACCTTCACGTTACTGTGTCAAACTACCAGAGAGAAGCAACTTGGAAGGAGGACAAATTTACCATGGCTCGTGGTTTCAGAGGTTTGGGTCTACGACTGCCTATTTGGGTCCTGTGGTGGGGCTGAAAGATGAGGAGGAGCCTGTGCAAAGCAAGCAGGAGTGTGGTGGGCTTTTATCACAAAGTCTCTGCCCCCCAAACCCATTAAGTTATGGGTCCATAAATAGATGAATCCATAGATCCATGCATCCATGAATAGACCCTGGGGAATAGACCCTGGGGTCCACTCAGCCCCCAAATGCCCACCTTCAAACACCACTGCAATGGGAACTAAGCCTTCAACATGTGAGCTGTTTTTTAATCTTTATGTTTATTTTTATTTGTGTTTGCAATACTTAATGATTATCATCCAAACCATAGCATATAGGCAGCTTGAAATTGACCATGGTGGGAATATTTACTCTGTGGAGAATGGCAAACGCTACAAGTCAGGAGTCTTGTTTTTTGTTTTTGTTCGTGGAGGCAGCTGTTAAATACTTGCGATCACAACACTGCCTGGGTAGAAAACATCTGCACACCCCTGTACACCAGTCTCTGTTCTGTTGGAAAGCTTTCATCCGGCTGATTTCCTGGCCTCCTTAGGACAGGGCTCAGGCTCTTCCTCTTTGAGGCAGCCTACCGTGATGACAAAAAAATAAGTTCAGCTTTTGCTCTAGCCGTCTTAATCACAGCTCTGAACAAGTCAATTGTGTGTGTGTGAGAGAGAGAGAGAGAGAGAGAGAGAGAGAGAGAGAGAGCAGGGCAGGCACACATGCACTCAACGACTCCTGTTGCTCCTTTAGGGTGAGAACCAAGTCATCATCTCCAGATTTCCACGCACCTCCCAGCAGAGACTAAGAGATGAGCACATTTTCAATTAAGGAAAGAATGGGCTGGGGATTTAGCTCAGTGGCTCCATGCCTGCCTGGTAAGTGCAAGGTCCTGAGTTCAATTCCTGCTAATAGAAAAAAAATGAATACGCCAATTATATCTATCCCAACTGCCTAGTTCTCACAAACTCTGGAGTTAATGAAAAAAAGGATCTGCCTACCTGAACAATGGCCAAGAAGAAAGGGAAATAAGAAATGATCATTGCAGTTATTCTGGTAACTAAGACACTAAATGCCAATTCTGCACCCGCATCATGCTACAAATTTCACATGTGTAACAGCCCCGTCATCACCAGAATGCTGAGATGCAGGGGCTCATTCTGCCCGTTCTACAGTTGTGAAAACCAAGATCACACAACTTGCGATGGTATAACTGGACTTTGAGTCAAGTTGTCTGGTTTCAGAGTCCCTACGCTCTGCTGCATCCTAGGGGAAGAAATTAATTCAGAGCCAGCAAGTAAAGATGCCAGGGAGTGCTGCGGGGAGGAAGCACAGAGCAAGGAACAGACTGCTTCAGAACAAGAGAGGAGGGAAGAAAACAAATCTTGTAAAGGATTGGCCTTCTTGGAAATATGTAGACCCCCGGGGACTTAATTTAAGAAGCTGAAAATTATCTAATATAGTGGCTTCCAGATTAGGACTTCCAAATGTGGCTTCCAAATTAGTGGGGCCTATCTTCAATCAAAGCCACCTGAACCCCTAATCCAGTGGTGAACCCATGGCACGTGTGCCATGGAGGGCTGTCTGTATCACTGAAATCTCTAAAAGGATCACCATCACTGCCCTAATCTCTAACACAGGCTTGGCTTCATACCCAGGGGATTTTTAGCAACACCTGGAGAAGTGTTTGGTTTTCAACCCTGGGAGGGGGGATGTTGATGGCGCCCAGTGGGCAGAGGCCAGGGTGCTACTGCACATCCGGCGCTGCACATGACCCAGGGTGAGGAGAGACGGAGAGAAGCCACCCAGGGTGATGCAGGCTGGGAGCTGGTGGTACAGACACCTCTGCGCCCTTAGCTGCAAGATTTGTTCATAGGTTCCCATGACAACTGCCAAGCAGTGATCTTTTATTCCACAGCTCAGTGGTTTTCTCTAAATCCCTTTCTCTATCCATCCCAGACCACAGAGGCAGAGTGACAGTATCTTCCCAGGCAGAGACCACACAGGAGAAGGAAACGTGGACGAAGGTCCTTTCACTGTGACAACAGAAGCAGGGGATTTGGGAAGAGGTAGGAAAAAAAAAAAAAGGAAAAGAAGAGCTTAAAACTACACCAATGTCCAATCATCAGACATGGAAGGCACTAAGAAGGGAAGAGGTGTTCTCAGGCCACCTTGGAAATCTGATGATGAAAGGCATAAACTGCTCCCCAGAAAAAAATGTGTACATGCACAGTGTTTCATGTGCGGTTTCAAGGAAAATTAATACCAAGACCTAAATGAGGAAATCAGAAATCATTTAATCCAGTGGCCCCCAAATGAGGGCAGTGGATCTAACCTGTATCTTCAATCAAAACCAAATGTGAAATATTGACCTCTAATACAATGGTTCTGAAACGGACATTGTTTTGTATTCCAGGAGATCCTTAGAAAAGTCTGGAGATATTTTGGGTCTTCACAACTAGGGGAGAGAAGGTGTCCCTGGCATCTAGCAGGTGAAGACCAGGAGTCCACTCAGCATCCTACAAGGCAAACAATAGCCCCCACAACAAAGTGTGATCTGATCCAAAATGTCGGAGGTGTCAAGGTAGACAAACCTGGTGTAATGTAATAAAGGGAACTGCTTCCATGGTGAAGTGACTGGGGACCAGACACAGAGCTCCTCTAGCATTACACAGACCCGATTTAGATTTGACTCAGCTAAATGGCCTAGAGCCACCTGCCACACATCTGTGAGCTTTAGTTTCCTCAGCTTTGAAATGAAGGTCATTTAACTCCTGGGATGATTGTACTAAGTACAGCGGGGGGAATAGAATAGCAAAATATTAGTAGTAGTCACACAGTGGTACCTCGGTTAATGAACTTAATTTGTTTTATGAGTTTGGGGAAGACAGCTGTGTTTCTGTTTGTGTGGGAAGATGGTCTTGGTTGTATTTGTTACCCAATTTGGAGATTGTGAAGGAAAGCAAAGTTTTGCTGAATGCTTTTGTTTGTGAACTGAATTGTGTGGGAACAGAAGCATTTGTGAGCTGAGGTATGACTGTATTGTTATTAGTAGTAGAAGTATTACCTTTACTATTTGTATTAATAGTGTTGTGGAAGATGTCACAAATGAGGGAACTGGTTCTTAAATAACTTAGAGAAATGTCTACCACTGGCTAACTTGAGGGATCAAAGACTTGATTAAGCTGAGAAATATCTTGTCAAGCTATGGTGATAAGGCCATTGGCTGGTTTTCTTCCTAAATAGCTTATAAACTAACCCTAATATGTGTGTACTGCTGCCAATAATTATAGGGGAGTCCTGTCACAAGAATGCCTTAAAGAAGCCAGACAAACACACCCAAGTGTGGTGGGTTTGTGTAAAATACCACCTTATAATTATTTAGCTATATTTCTCATTTTCACTCATTCAGAGCCCAACATTTATCTTTGGAGTGAATCTTGATTTAAGAAATCTAAGTTATCTTTGCTTCAGGTCCCCTAAAAGCAGAGCCCTAGGCAAAGGTGTGTATATGGGTTATAATGAAGAGATGACCCTAGGGAGCAGAAGTAGTGACACAAGAAAGAGGGGGAAAAAAAGGCATTAGAAGGTTAATTATCAAGATCATGACTATGGGTCATGTCAGTGTGATTCTACCAGGACCCCCTAAAAGTGTGTAGACCTGTCTTAGTCAGTCCTCGTCAGTGGGGCAAAATCCCCAATGCTCCCTAGCATAAAAGAGGAGAGGTTTATTTTGGCTTGCATTTTAGAAGTTTAGGTCCATAATCAGCAAGTTTGAATACAGACACCATATGGTGGAATGGCTTGGGTGGAGGGGTAGAGGAAAAGCTGCTCACCTCATGGCAGCCAGGAAGCAGAGAGAATGAAGAAGGGAGCCCAGGAGGGAGATACACCCTTCCAGGCCACTTCCCTAGTGAGCCAGCTCTTCCCATCAGACCCCCAGATCCTAACATCAAATTTAGCTATAGTATCTCTGTGATTCAGTTACCTTTCAGAAGCCTCACCCATGAGCACGTGACACTTTGGGTATTGCTAGAAATAAACTGTCACAAGACTGGCTGCGAGAGTCACCCACTAGAAGAGATGAGAGTTCCATCGGTTCTCTACTTCTCACTTGTTGGGCATCGCCCCTGATGCCGGGCTGGTAACTTCCCTTTCGGGAGCTTCAGCAAGGTACAGCAGGAGTTCAAGACCTTGGAGAGGCCCAGGATGGAAAGCAGGGTTCATACGCTTGAGATAACACACAAAAAAGAAAGCGAGTGGGAGAGATCCTTGAAATCAGAAGTTGATGGGTACAAGTTCAAGCACAAGTGCAATGTTATACCATGTGGTATTACAGGCTCCCAATTCCTGGGGTTGTTCCTGGGCTAAAGTCTCACGTTTGCCAACTATGAAGCTATGAATTTCAGTTTTCTCTTCTTATGTCTCATAGAGCTGTTGGGAGAATGGAACAAGCTTATGTTTGTAAAGTACTTAGCAATCATGTAGTCTTACATAATATGCTATTACAAATAACAGGTGCTCAGTAAACAGGACAATCACCCATACGCTTTCATTAACCTGTTTGCCATGATGTATGCCAAGCACTGAATGAACTAACAGGAAATGAAATTTGCCAGTTCTACTGGTCAGCTTTCCATCACTGTGAGGAAATGCCTGATATAAATAACTTGTAAAGAGGAAAGGTTTGTACTGGCTCCCTGTTTCAAAGCCTTCAGTCCATGGTCCCTTAGCCCCGTTGCTTTGGGCCTGTGGGGTTACAGGACATCATGGTGGGAGAATAAGAGGGAGGAGGCCACTCAC